CATAAAAGAGGAAGACCCTCAATGAGATGGATTGACATAGTGGCTGCAACAACGGGCTCAAGTGTATCAACAGTTGTAAGGATGGCGCATGACTGGGCAGTGTTTCATTCTATTGCATGTGAGGTTACTCATGACTCAACGGCACCGAACAACAAGAATCTGACCAGTGGTTCTCAATTTTTCCCATCTGTTTGGGCTGATGGGGCTTATTAGCATTTTATAGCTTTGTAAAGCTTAAGTATTCCCTCATGGGAATAATAACTGTTTTATATTGAACACTGAACAATCGATTGATTTATGGAGTGAAGGCAAGTCTAGTTTTCAAAGAACTTCAGCTCTCCATGAAAAAGATTATGCCTGTCCAGGGTGTGAGGAAAAGCGGCTTAATGTCAGAGTGGTAAACACAGGCACTGGTTTTGAGAGGCAGTCCCTCCTGACAATATGACCAAAGTACAAAAGGTGAAGTATGGCTACCCTCACTTCTAAGGAACATTTTGGCTGTACTTCATTCAAGACAGATTGCTTTGCTTTTCTGGCAGTCCATGGTATAGTCAGTGTTCTTCACCAACATCATAATTCAGGGAAGCACCATCCCAATTCAGCCTCTTCCTGTGTGTTTTGGATTGAATTATGTCCCCCAAAATATGTGTTGTGAATCCTAACCTCTATCCTTGGGTTATAATCCCATTTGGGAACAGGTGGTCTTTCTTATATTAATGAGATAGATTAGTGTAGGATGTTATCTTGAGTCAATTTCTTTTGAGATATTGAAAAAAAAAAAAACAACTCACTGCCATCAAGTTAATTCTGACTCATAGCGACCCCCACCGGGTTTCTGAGGTGGTCAATCTTTACAGAAGTAGATTGCCCACTAACAACATGTGGACATTGTTATGTGAGCAAATGTCTTGTTGTGTATGTTTTTACCACAATGAAAGTAAAAACAGAGATTAAACAAGCGAGTAGAGCAGAGATGGGAAGAGAGAAATACCAAGACACGTGGAGATCTTCAAGGAAGCAGGAAACAGAAGCTGAAAAGACAAGGCCCTTCCTTCAGAGCTGACAGAGAGAGAGAGAGGTTTCCCCTAGATCCAGCACCCTGAATTCAGACTTCTAGCCTCCTGAACTGTGAGAAAATTAATTTGTTTGTTGACGCCACTCACTTTTGGTATTTATTTTATAGTAGCACTAGGTAACCAAGGCACTGCATGATCTCCCTGTGCCTCTGTTTGCTCATCTGTAAAGTGGAGATAATAATACTTATCTTGTAGAGTTGTTGAGTAGATGGAATGAGTTAAAACACATAAAGTGACTGTGACCCAGTAAGCACTCATAGATACATTAAAAACGAGGCCAAACCAGATGATTATTCTTGTTTAGTGGTAGTATAACAATGAAAAACAACCAACTCTAAATTGCCTATTGACAAAGATTTTAAAAATCTCTTTTCTCCAAAACAGATGATAATATTAAGAGTCATTTATGTTTGTCTGGTAGCATAGTGCCTAAGGCACTTGACTGCTAACCAGAAGGCTGGTGGTTCAAACCCACCAGCCACTCCTCGGAAGGGAGATGGGGCAATCTACTTCCGTAGTGATACTGCCTCAGAAACCCAAGGAGGGGTCGCTACGAGTCGGGTCCGACTCGACAGCACCTAACAACAACAACAACATGTTTGTCTGGACACGGCTTAGCAGTTTATAAAGGGCCCAGGCATGCATTCTTATATTTTTTACCTCCCTGGGGGAAAGGCAGGTTTGGAGAGTTCCACTTTACAGATGGGCAAAGAGAGGTTGAGCCACTAGGAACACAGCCAGCCAGCAACTGGCAAAGGCAAGGGCAGAACTGGCTTCTTTCCAGGCTGCACAGATTTCAGCGTGATAATCAATATGCCTTCAAAGGTCAGCTATAAAACCAGCCCATTGAAGACATGCTTACCCATCTAGCTCAGCCGTTTCCACATAGCAGAGGCTGTTAGGTTCGGAGCTGGACAGCAGCAGAATGTCAGCCTGTTGAAGACAAAACACACAGGTAACAGGCGACCCTCCCAAAGGGAGACCGAGCTAGGGGAGAGCAAGTGACGAGAGAGCAGTGCTTGCTCACTTACTGGAATAAAATCATTTTTTTTCAGACGGATGACATCTCCAACTTGAATATCTTTCCACTTGGTAATTTTGAACCTAAGGATGAAAAATAATAAATAAATGTTGAGTGGTTTCTAAAAGTTCCTGGCAAAGGACATGGAATTATTCTTTCTGTATGCCAAAGATTCTGGGAAACATGGAAATGGTAGGGAAAACGTTTGTTAAATATTCAGCCATTTCATGACATAGCAGCATAATGTGGTTGGGAGGATTCTATTATTGTTGAAAGGATGACATGATGATGGTGATGACTTTGGGGCTAATAATAAGGATTTGCAGCTTATAAAGCACACTCCTACCACTCGTTCGTCACAATTACCTAGAGAGGTGGTATGCTGGTTGTTTTCTGTTTGCTCTTCTCCACGCCCATTCTCCACCTTGCTTTGTCCCGCTCTCTGGGAGGTTCTCCTCTTGGGTTGGTCCCAGTCCTCTGCCACCTGGTTCTGCTCAGGTTCAGCCAGAGGGAGACACTAAGAACAGCTCGAAGGCAGGCGAGTGACTGTGAGGTTTTCCCATTCTCTCCCTTCTAAGGCTACACTGGTGGCCATAGCTGCCTCCATCTGTGACTTGAGCTCTTGTCCTCCACAGCTCTGTGTACTGAAGGTGGCAATGGCTTCCATCTGTTGCTATATTCTGAGTAGACACCATCCTGTGTTGGTTCCTTTGCACACTGCACACTTCCACACACTGCCCTTTCCTTAGTCTCTTCATGTAAGCAGCCCAAGTTAAGATTCTGCTCCTGCCAAGATCCTGATAACACAAGTGGGCAGGTAGTACCATCTCATATTGCACTTGATCAATGTCATAGAGCTTTGAAGTTGCAGAACTGTTCATTCAAACTCTGCTTCCTTATTCAAAAAATGTATTAAGCACCTTCATGGCATTTTTTCCATCCCAGTGTCCTTTCCATCCTATGTCTGTCTAATAAAGGGCTCATTAGGGGCTTTTTACATGTGTGGCAGGGAGATACATCCAGGCCGCAGCCACTCACTTTGCTTTTGTTCATAGTTCACACTCCTTCTCCTCATTCTTTTCCATCTGGGTTATCTGTCCTTGCTCAGTGCTGGTCCCAGGACAGGAATACATGATACCTCCCACAAGGGCTTCCCTGAGCCCTCATGGAGTTTTAGAGCTTGCCCCTTCTCCCAGTTCATCTAACCAGAATCTATAATGACAGAAAATGATCTAAATTAGGGTCTTGCCAGATCCCCATGGCGTCTTCATCATGTCTGTAAGTGTTCACTGTCGATCAGTGGTACTGCAGGAAGGGCCTCCCAGCCCTCTGATGCTCAGCATCTCAGCAAGCCCGCCCTGCACTGGACATGCCCTATTATGCATCTGTGTCTGAGCTGTGTGGCAGTGCTGCATTCTGAATGGTTAATGGTTTTAATGGTCTACCTGTTCATCAGGAGCTCTGGTGGCATAGTGCCTAAGGCATTGGACATCATTTATGCAGCAGATCTTGCCAATTCTTGCCAATGTTCTTGCTGATCAAGGAGGGATGATTTTACAATAGAGCACTTGGATTCCTCCAGACAAGAAGAGAAGGTCTGAAGGGCAAAATTCCTTTGCTTTTAAACAAACTTCCTGATAACTATCATTGCAACCATCGTTATTGGGTAGTTTATAGAATAGGGAAAATAAGACACTTAGCTCAAAATTCAAGTTAGAGTACTTCTCCTTCAGGTAGACAAAGGGGGATGGTTATGAAGACCTTTTAGGTCAAACAAGCAAGTGCAGAACAGTGTGCATATCATGAATACTGAGAACATATTCTCTATACAGAATATAGGAAAAAGCCACATATGCATATAGAAAAAAGTCTGGAAGACGATAGATTAATTTGTTAGCAGTGGTTACCTCTGGAGCGTGAATATGGAAATTGGGTATCAAAATGGAAGCTTTTCTCTTTTATGTATTCTCTATTGTATATGTCGCTTTTTGAAATGATAATATGGATAAAATGTAGAAGAAGGATTACTATCTTCAGTATTAAATTCCATAAAAAATACTCATTTAAATTTCTAATGAATCAATATTTTTAAAGTTTTTAAATACAGGACTCTGTTTTAGAGATGTTTGTGTACTGAAAGGATAGACTTCATAGATATTACGAATCTGCCACAACTAACCTTTGATTTTGAAGGCAGAAATCCAATTGCTATGTATTTGCTCCCATTCATTTATGTGGCGGGGAGGACTGGAGATTTAAAATATATGCTTATGCCCTAATTTCTCCAATTTTACTAAAATTTAGTAAAGTTGGCTTACTTTTCAATCAATAGAATGATGGTATTTTATATTTCAGTATCTGAAATGATAAATTTGCAAAACCAAACCAAAATCTTCAAGTGGGTCTCAAATTACAAATGAACAAATGAAGGCCTTCTTATCCCAGTTCTTTTGGAATATTAAGAGGCCATGCTCATAGCACACTCGCACTGTGATATAAGTTTCCCCTGATGAGGTACTTGCTGCTCTGTCCCACTGATGCCTAAATAAGTCCACGCACAGCCTTGGTTCCACAGCGAGGGCTTCTGGGACCACAGCCCTGCAGACATGCGCCCACCATGCCCCAATTTGAGGCAACCCAGGGCTACCATTTACCAGTGTATTTTATCAATATTGTGGGCTATGAAGTCTCACAACCATTCATAACATTGATTCTAAGTGACTTGAAAGGTAACATTAGGAACACAGTCCATTTTATTTTTTTTGGTGAGGAGAAAAAGCTGACCTATGATATTTATCAATTAAGGTTGGTGGTTCAAACCCACTAGCCACTCCATAGAAGGAGGACTGGGCAATCTACTTCCATAAAGATTTACTGCTTTGGAAACCCAGTGGAGGTCACTATGAGTTGTAATTGACTCAGTGGCAGTGAGTTTGGGTGTTTTTTTTGTTTTTTTTTTTTTGTAAATTCAAGATAGACACAGCTCATGTGTGGCTGTAAATCACGTTATTTTCCTCAGTGTTGACACTAAAGAGTCTTTGAATTGTGCCTTAGTCACTATTTTTAACACTTGAAGCTTCAGTTCTGCCTTGGGGATCTTGATCAAAAATAAAAAGTCATTACTGAGCAATGAACTGGGACCTTGGTCACAGCTGATTGCATTAACTTAACAAGTATTTATTAAGCACTTTCTCTGTGCTAGAGGCCCTGTATCCTGGAGAAAGTTAGAGTCCAGGAGACAAGATGAGCAACTACAGAAAGCTAATAAAATTCAGATGATAAGATGAAAAGAAAACATTCTGAAAACACAGACCCCACTGCCAGTGAATCAATTCTGACTCACAGTGAGGTTATAGGACAGAGTAGAACTGCCCCCTAGGGTTTCCACCAAGGATGTAAATCTTTATGGAAGCAGACTGTCTCATCTTTCTCCTGCAGAGTGGCTGGTGGGTTTGAACTGCCAAACTTTTGATTAGCAGCCAAATGCCTTCACCACTGCACCACAAGTACAGTATAATCACTTTAGCTGGAGAATCAGTAAGACATCAAGACATCTGAAAACAGCCCCAAGTGGGTAGCTTTGGAATCAGAAGAGATTAAGGAGTTATACTAGCATAGGGTGTGCTGTTAACTCAGATCCCAATCAGGCTACTGCCCACGATCCATTTGGGTAGAGCCACCAGGCCTCAAAGGGGATACAATGTCTTTGTAAGTTAAGGTTGGTCTTTACAACTAGAAGATTCATGTACTGATAGACCTCTTAGTTCAAACCATTATCTCTAAATATGTCTGAGGGCATATTCATACATTACATTCTTATAACTAAGTAACACCCCACTCGTCTGTCAGTCTCTTGTCCTACGGCTGCTTCTGTGCCGGCTGCTATATGCTGGAGGCTATGCCACCAGTATTGCAAAAACCAGCAGGATCATCCACGGAGGACAGGCTTCCGTGAAGCTTCCAGACTAAGGTAGACCAGGAAGAAAGGCCTGGTGATCTACCACTGAAAATTAGCCAGTGAAAACTATATGAATCACAACGTGAGAATGTCTAATACAGAGGTGGAAGACGAGCCCCACACGTTGGAAGTCACTCAAAACACACAGTGGCTGCAACAGTGGACTCAAGCCTATCAACGTAGACCATTAAGATGGTACTGGACCGAGCCAAGCTTTATTCTGTTGTACGTGGGGTTGCCAAGGCTGGAGTTCACGCGACAGCCACGACCAACAATAACAAAGCGGCCGATTGAAGAAGGCACGGTACCTGCCGTCCTTGATGACTTCACAGGTCCTGTTATTTATTTCCTTATCCATTTTATGGCGAGCCTTTAAAAGGGAAACGGGCAAATGTTATTCCAACAATCCCAAAATGTAAGGCATTCATGGCAAACTAACACGAACTCAAAGCAATCAGGAAGCTAGTAATAGAAGAGCCTTACCACATCGTCCACCAGGTCTTTGACTGCGGTGATGCCCAGCACCAAGAGCAAAGGCACGAAGGTGGTGTACCAGGCCAGAGTACTGATCTGAGGGATCGACTTCAGAGAAAGAAAGAAAGAAGCATACGTGTGTATTCAAGAAGGCACATACAATGCACACATAACTGATCGCTACTTTCCACTGCCATATATGTCTATAGCCTGCAGGGCATGTAGGAAAAGGCATCCAGGAAGCCAGCCAATCTTCCTCACATGGCTCTCCCGAGCTTCTGGGCACCTGGAACAGAGCCTAAGGCCGCGGCTCCTGACAGTTTCTCATTGGGACCTTAGCATGATACCTAAAAGGGAACTGTAATCATTTTTCCTTATGTCTTCATTCTTGTTCTGTGATGTAGGTACTCTCTTTTTTTAAAGTTTTCACTTTATTGTGGGCAAATATATCTAACAAATTTTGCTTTCTTAGCTATTTTTAAGTGTACAACTCAGTGGCATTAATTACTTCTACCATACTGTACAACCATCACCAACACTTGTTCATCACCCCAAAAAAACTCCATCTCTTTCCAGCAATAATGCCTCACCCCTCCCTTCTCCAGCACCTGGTAGCCTTCGTCTGCTGTCCATCTCCAGGAACTTGACTGTTCTAGGCTTTTCATATAAGGAGGATCATAAATATGTGGGACTCACCTTTCTCTGACTGGAAGGAAGTGAGGGAAAAAGTACCTGCTCACTTATTACACAATAGCTCCTTACAGCTGGGGTATTTCTCTCCACACAAGCATGTCTAAAACGTTCTCCTGGAGAGAGGACTGTCAACCTTATAGCCTACTAAATCTGTTGACATCCAGTTCTCTCTTTTTTCCTCCCCTTGTCACTCCATGCATCCCCCCGTTCCCACCAAATGCACACTCCACCATTTTCATCAAACCTTAGTGGGTGTAATACCTGGGGCAGGTGGGATCATGTGCCAAAGCCAATGTTGGCTGGAAAGAACGTGATAAAACAAAGTGGTTCTACTACCCTTTGTAACCTGCATGTCAGGTGGTAACGGCTGGTTCTGAGTGCTAGCTGGAGTGTGCTGTGTTCTCTCAGTTATAACAACCGATCCTAAACGGAGGCCAACGTATGCCAGAAGAAAATAGATGCTTTTCAGATACGTGAATACTTGGTCAAATTAGGGGAGGGGAAAAAAAACAAACACCCAATTCAGACAAAGAGGAGGCCTTTTCCCATGTAAAAACCAGCTCACAAACGTAGTTTTTTGAGATTATTATTAAAAACTAATACTCTTCTTGAGAAAAGTAGGCATCCAACTACAAAAAAAAAAAAAAAATTAAGGGCAAGTACATAAAATAAGTTTAAAAGGTATAAATCCTTCTACAAAGTGAAGATTTTCAATTTATTCTCTTCAGGAAAGCCAGTTACAGCATTCACATCCGTATGAAACAACATGTTTCACAAATACAGCATTAGAGTCATACTTCCACTTGCCCCCTTCGCCTGTTCCTTTAATGAACGTTGAGCTGGTTCTGTGTGTGAGACACTGTGTCCTTGCCTTTGGAACCCAGATGCTGATGTAACAAGCTTTCAATCACCCACACTGTTCTAAGCAACTTAAAATGTTCGTGAGTCACCATAATTCAAAGCAGAACTAATCTCTCAGAGGCATTACCTGTAAGATAAGAAGGATCAGGAAATAGAAATTGGCTGCTCTCTTAAACTGCTCGAACAAATTCATTGGCAGAAAGGTAAACACGTTGTACTTGTACGTTTTAATGGCGTTAGACTGGTGGAAAGAAAAAAAAAGTCATTCTAAACGATTCCACACACTTATGACAGTGTCTGTAAACCAAAACCCCCTGCTGTCTGGCTGATTCTGACTCATCGTGACCCTATAGGGCACACAGTAGAACTGTCCCGTAGGGTTTCCTGGCTGTACATCTTTACGGAAGCAAACTGCCTCGTCTTTCTCCCATGGAGCAGCTGGTGGGTTCAATCCACTGACTGCTTTTTTGGCAGCTGAGTGCTTTAACCACTGCATCACCAGGGCTTCCAGACAATATTTATACATCTACAAAAATCACTAAGTCCCATGTCAGTGGTTACCATGACATAATTTGTGATACCAAAACAAACAAACAAAAACCCCAACTCACTGCCATTGAGTCGATTCAACTCATAGCGACCCCTCCTTGGGTTTCCGAGGCAGTATCACCACAGAAGTGGACTGCCCAACCTTTCTTCTGAGGAGTGGCTGGTGGGTTTGAACTGTCAGCCTTCTGGTTAACAGTCAAATGCCTTAGGCAATATACCACCAGAGCCAATTTGTCAGTCAGAAAGATACCAAGATTTCCTTTAAGGCTTTTGTTCCAACCAAGCCTCAAAATGACCACTTGAAGGCTTTTGTCAGAACCAGTAACAAGATACAAATGTTTCACCTCAAGTCTCCGCCAATCAGACCCTGACTAAGAGAGTTCCATCGAGATTCCTCGGCCGTTAGAAAACGGGGCAAAGGTACATGTCAGTTAGGAGTCCCGTAACTGCTCTCTACACTGTGAGGGGGTGTGAGGTTGGACTTGGGCAAAGCAGAACACTCTCTTTTAAGGGGACGCAGGGGCTACTAGGTAAGAAAGAAGGCAGAGGACCTTTCCAAGGACTTCTTACAACATTGAGCCCACATCTGACAGGTGATCTAAATAAGCATTTTTTGAGGTGAAAATATCTTCCAAGTCTCTAACTATCACAGGTAGAAAAGGGAGAATAAGTAATATACCTTTCAAACTCATTATTTTCAAACTTACTACTTTTAAACATAAGACTTCTATTACATTATTGCAATTCTTCCATGAAACATTTTTCATAGAGCTTTGCACACTTAAAAAAAAAATCCACTGACACCTAGATGATTCTGACTCATAATGACTCTGTAAGACAGAGTACAATTGCCCCATAGGGTTTCCAAAGCTGTAAATCTTTATAGAAGCAGATTGCTTCATCTTTCTCCTAAAGAGTGCCTGGTAGGTTTAAACCACCAACCTTCTGGTTAGCAGACAAATGCTTTAACCACTATACTACATCGTACTCATTAATTTTCAAACTATATTCATTTTTTGGATTGAGGAGGGTTTGAACCACCCCACCCTCAACATAGTTAAATTTACTGAGATAAATAAGTTACATTGCATTGAAATAACAATAATTATTAATAGTCTCAGGCCAGTGGCTACTTAGAAGGAAGGTGTGGTACAAAATCAACAAGTATCAGGATGCTAGACAAACCTGGCTTCTAAGAGAGGTAATGTGGGAAGTTAAAATCAACTTACCGCATATTTGCTCTCCTTAATACAGAAGAACTTGGTGTTCCTAAAATGAGGTTGTTCATGGAAGTCTCGATCATTTGCTTTGACTTGCCATGTACAGTCTGGAAAAACAAAACAGGAAAAACAGAGTCTAACAAGTAGAGCATTAATATAGGTTGTAACTTTAGCGATTGCTACCACAACGTTTTCTTTCTTGTCAGTTGCCAGCGATTCCATGCTGACTATAGTGACCCCACGTGTGTTTTTAAATGGCTGATTTCCACGAACTGGATCACCAGGGCTTTCCTCCGTGGCACCTCTGGGCAGACAATGACCCCGATCTTTGGTCAGAAGCCAAGTGCTAACCATTCGTACTGTCCAGCGGCTACTACCTAACAACAGAGTAGGTGAAATGCCATCAGGATGCATCATGATTTCAATAATGGCCGAGGACATCCACCTTATGCACTAGGCCGAAATTCCCTCACAGCACATCAGACTTCAGAGAAGTAATACAAATCCAAGCTCGGCTTGAACAAAAATTCAAGAGCCCCTGAGGTTCACAGCCAAACTGAGTGAGGTTGTTATTTTTTTCAAACACATGTACTTAGTGTGCAAAATTTATAACCCATCAAATATTCAGTGAAAAGGGCATCGACGAGTAATTCAGCACCTTGGAGTCCTGGCCCTGGATCCGTGCTGTGCACTGCTTTGCTCTGATCGCCTCTCCAAATGCGTTTCATGTATGTAACATCACAGTCACAGCAGCGAATGAACGTGGTCCATTCGATCGCCATGCCTAAATTCCAGGGAACTTCCCAGCATCCTCAACTCCTTGCTGCTGCTGAGAACATTTCTCACACAACAGGTATCCCATAAAACACCTCTCTACTCCCTGCCCGCACCACCTCTTTCCAGCCTGATTCTGCTTGGGTCTGGTTTCCTCCACAGTCATTGAAAGCTGTTGCCTCCTTGTTTAATAGGACAATTCTCAGCTCTGTCAAAGCCCCTTGTGTGCACCTCCCTGGTCACATGTCCTTCATCCCACCCTACAGAGAGCCCTTCTCCTAACTTTGGTGTTTATTGTCCCTCTGCCCTTTTTTTGTACAGGTTTACAATACATGAGTCCCCAACATGTTGTTTGGTCTTGTTTTTGAACTAAACCACGTTTATTCCTCTGTGAATTGCTTTCTGCCCCCTCAGCATCAGGGGAGGTGACAATCATCCGAGCTAATGTGAAGAGATGGTATTCACTGTTCTGACTGCATACACTGTGACGGTGCTTTTGTGTTGTCTTATAGTTCATTTTCATCTTCCCTTTACAGGAAATTGTGCTTGAGCTAGAAAAGATGCTATGAGGATTTCTATTTGCAATGACACAACAATGACAATTACCCCAAAAAATTGCAGCCAAAATGATGCATGAGAAAATGTCAATAATGGTAACATCGTTTTTAAAAAAAACGTTAAATTATTTGCAGTCATTATTTGCATTCTCAGTATTGCTTTGGCAGTAATATCGATTGCTTACAGAGTAGGTCTTCATCTGCGACTTAACTGAGGAGACTTTCTAGTTAATTTCAGAATTCTGACTGCAGTCAAGGAATCAATAACCCTTCTTCCAGCTCAGGTTCTCTGTGTGCCTCATTCAGACAAGCCAGAGGGCAATCAAATCAAAACCTTCTCCTCCTCTGATGCTGAATGCTGAGCTAATTGTTCGAGCAGCATTTCAATCAGAGATCATTTTAAAAAAAGTGGAAACCACATTCTGCAGTCAAACACATTTGAGAAAAACAGCACATTTCTTGGCCATTCAGTAGGCACTGGGATGTTAAAGGCTCTGAGAAATCCTGCAGTAAAGAAACACTGCATTTCAATGTTAACACGTCCACGCTTTTTTTTAAGTCAAAGAACACCTATTAACCTGGTTTGAGAAATGTGCTAAGGGCAACATTTTAGGAAAGGCAGTAAAACAGTACTTGGGCGTATTTGCCTTTTTGATCCAATCTCTTCTTTGGAATACGGAACTTTATTAGATATTTGGACTATAAGGCTAATTTCTAGAAGGAAATTATGAAGAAAAGAAATAATAAATTTATCAGCAAAAAATGCACCTTCATCATATGGTCCTTTAGTCAAAAGGTAGAGAGGTAACAGCTAACGAGTGCATCTAGCCAAACCTCAAAAGTCGTGCCCAGAGATGCACCTGCATGGGTCAGATGCGGCTCAGGGGTACACCTGGCATCTGAGAGAAACTGATGTCTCCGATGCATTTAAATATCACTAAATCGTTTTCAGAGCCCCTGGACTGGGTGGTGCAACAGTGTGCCTGGATGCTAAACGATGGGCTGGGGGGTCGAGTGCACACAGAGACATCGCAGGAGAAAGGCCTCGTGGTCCACTGGAAGCCCTATGGAGCACAGTTCAACTCTGACACACATAGGGTCTCCATGAGTCTGAGTTGACTCCATAGCAACCGCCACCACCACAAACAAGATGGTTCCAGAGTGTCTGCACAGTCATCGAGTGCTTTGACCATCGCCACCTGGAAAAGCTCCAACACAAATAAACAGAAGCAAGCTTAGCCTTTCCCATCACCCACTCAGTTCTAGTCCTAAATCCTTGCTTCTAGACACACCAGTAACCACAAAGCTACACTGGTTGGTGCAAACTGCAGCAAACCAGTAAAATAGTCAAACACTTAATATCAAACACGGAAAAAAAAATACTGAAGAGAGAAACGGCCGTGCAATATGAATAGACAGTCATACAAAGGGAAATTCAAATGGCTCTTAGATACATAAAAAGATACATTCAATTTTATAAAAGAAACGGTATTCAAAACTCCAGGGAGGTACCAACTTTTATCTATTATATGAGCAAAGATTAAAGGGTGTGATGACATACTGGGTTGAAAAGGATGTGGAAAAACAGGCCCTCTTATGTAACCTCTTGGTAGAGCTATTTAGATGGCATGGGGCAGAGTTTTGTTCTGTTGTGCTTGAGTCTGTCATGAGTTGGGGTCGACTCAATGGCAGCTAACAACATCATCCTCCTCATCAAAATTTAATACACACATTCACTTCTAGGAACTTATCTCCATATATCTATGCAAGCATGAGAGAAATGACCTATTTCAGGGTCTTCAATGCAGTTTATGATAACTATGAGAATCACCTACAGCCTTTAGTATGGATTACACCTCAATATAAAGAAAACAAAAGTCCTCACAACTGGACCAATAAGCAACATCATGATAAATGGAGAAAAGATTAAAGTTGTCAAGGATTTCATTTTATTTGTATCCACAGTCAATACCCATGGAAGCAGCAGTCAGCAGTCAAGAAATCAAACGATGTACTGCATTGGGCAAATCTTCTGCAAAAGACCACTTTAAAGTGTTAAAGAACAAAGATACCACTTTGAAGACTAAGATGCACCTGACCTAAGCCATGGTCTTTTCAGTTGCCTCATACATACACGAAAGCTGGACAGTGAATAAGGAAGATCAAAGAAGAGTTGATGCATTTGAATTGTAATATTGGAGAATAATATTGAATGTACCATCGGTACCATGGACTACTAGAAGAATGAACAAGTCTGTTTTAGAGAAAGTACAGCTGGAATGCTCCTTAGAAGCAAGGATGTGAGACTTCATCTCTCATGCTTTGGACATGTTATCAGGAGGGATCAGTCCCTGAAGGACACCATATTTGGTAATGTAGATGACCAGTGAAACAACTGTGAGGATGGTGCAGGTCTGGCCAGTGTTTCATTCTGTTGTACATGAGGTCACCGTGACTCAAAACGGACTCAATGGCACCTACCAACAATGACAATGTGAGAAACCATCTAAATGCCTACCATAAACAGCTGGTTAAGCATCCTATGCTGTCAGCAAAAAGTAATGAGGCAGCTTTCTAAGTACTGAAGGAGCTGATCTCCAAATTACACTGTTAGACAAAAGCAGAGGGTGTCTAACAGACCGTGCTTTCAGCTATGTGAAAGAGAATGAATACATAATACACATACATGAACACATGCATGTATGTGGGTATTTATGTATAAATCCACTGCCGTTGTTGATTCCAACTCATAACGATCCTACGGGACAAAACAGAACTGCCCCATCAGTTTCCTAGGCTATAATCTTTATGGAAGCACACTGCCACATCCTTCTCAGCAGAGTTGCTGATGGGTTTGAGATACCGACCTTTGATTGGCGGCTGATCACTTAACACTACCAGGGCTCCTTATGTGTATCTATCAACATATAAGGATGGTTACTTACAAATATTCTTTGCATACCCCATCGTGTGTCTATCCTCCAGAAGGACACATAAGCAACTGGTAACTACACTTGCTTTCTGGGAAGGAAAGTGCATCGCTAGGAGGAAGGGGAGACCTCCTTTTCACTTATACCCTTTACAACCGGGATCCATTTGCATGTACAGTCGTCCTTCTGTGCCTCTGGGGTTGGTTCTAGGACACTGTGGTTACAAAAATCCACAGATGCTCAAGTCCCTTTTACAAAATGGTAGAGCATTTGCAAATAACCTATGCCTATCCTCATGTATACTTTGAATCATCTCTAAAAAACAAACCCCAATGCTACTGAGTTGATTTCAACTTATAGCAACTCTAACAACACAGAGTAATAGTGCCCCATAGGGTTTTCAAGGTTATAAATCTTTAGGGTAACAGACTGTGTCATCTTTCTCCTGCAGAGTGGCTGATGAGTTCGAACCACTGACCGTTTGGTTAGCAGCCCAATGCTTTAACCACAGTGCCACCAAATCATCTCTCAATTACTTATAATACTTAACACGATGTAAATGCTATGTAAATAGCACTTCCTCTTCCCTGTTAGCCTTTTAGGGATTGCTCTGATTGCTTTTGTTTCCCACCCCCCCATATGCCAATATTATTGATCCCTGGCTGGCTGAATCTGCAGGTTTGCAATTCAGTTCCTGCCCTCCATGGCTTTACATATAAAGCAAATATATAAGTTGTTTAGGAGCTGTGGTAGCATAGTGCCTAAGACACTTGACTGCTAACCAGAAGGCTGGTGGTGAGTCAGGGCCGACTCAATGGCAAATAACAACAACAACAACAACATATA